GCTTATTGCTCCGGCTTATTGCTCCGGCACCTTATTGCTACTATCATTACCCTCAGCCCGCACGCTCCGAATATCTCATCTATTCCACCTGGCTTGTCGCCAACGCGACCCACCTGGCCTCATGGCCAAGCTAATTGTAATTAATAAGCCATGGTGAAACCAGCTTCGTTACACTGTTCATGTCATCATTTGTTACTTCAGCTGGTGCATGTGAGAGATGATTGAAGACCTCCTTCAAGTTAGGCAAGTTCCATATGTTCCACGCAGTCCTTTTGCCAATCCCAAATATGACAGAAACAGTATCGCATCCGGAAACAGCGTACAGGAACAAAAGGCCCCATGAGCGTTTAGGGCCAATGTGAGTCGCAATAGTGTGAGCAGCAATGTGCCTGAAATTGTGTCCATGTCCAAATGCCAACCACATTGCACAGCCGTCCATAACGCTTGCCATTGCGATCGCCAACGCAACCACATCCGTGTCCGTTGCAGGAATTACTATACTTCTGTGCCCCGCTGATATGCATGCCAAGCATGTAGCAACATGTGTGAATCAGCCTCTTCATGCGTACATGGTTCAATTTTAGAAACATCAGAATGGGGCTTTGATTTAACCTCTTCTTCATTGGTTGTTAGAAGTATTTTCCCTTCTGGAACAGCCATCGTTTGCAGAGCATCTGCAAGGAAACTGAATAGTGTCTTTTTGTTGGAATCTACACGAAGGAAGCTTTTTGTTGGAATAGGCTTTTTGCTCTATTAAACAATTGAACTCAGCATATAAAAAATTCCTTGAGTTTCAAGTTTCAGTGCCTTACGTGATTTAGAACCTAAGATTTTCAGCATTTCGTCATGTCGGCCATACTGGAATTTAAGATGGCTGCCATATGGTTTGTCAGACATGTCAAATCAATCCATTATTGAACTCAGCATGGCAAAATGCTCTAGTGTACCAAATTTCAGCGCCGCAGGTCATTAAGAACCCAAGATAGTAATGTTCAATGTATCGTCATGTCGGCCATACTGGAATTCAAAATGGCTGCCATATGGTTTGTCAGACATGTCAAATCAATCCATTATTAAAGTCAGCATGTCAAAATGCTCTTGTGTACCAAATCTCAGCGCCGCAGGTCATTTAGAACCCAAGATAGTGATGTTCAATGTTTCGTCATGGTGGCCTAATTGGTATTCAAGATGGCAGCCGATCCATTGGTCAAATTTCTTGGATCCGGCAATTTTTAAAATCAGCGCCCCAAAATACCCCTGTATACAAAATTTCACCCTTTCTGCCTTTCACCCTTTCACCCTTTCTGCCCTTCACCTTTTCACATATCTGCCCCACTAACACCTCGAGTAACCGATTGTAACTGATCATCGGTTACTTGGGTCCAACCGATGATCGATTACGAAATTACAACACTATGCAGGAGTCCGTGTGACTCCCTGAAAATTCTGCTATACTAACTAGTTCGTTCCAGAGCATGGCCTCACGGAATTACCGTATTTTTTCAGCAAATATCCAAAGAAAATTTGGCAGACGTGCATCGCAAGAATCTTCAAAATAAACACGTGTTATTGTTGTTACATGCTTTAGTTTTTAATTTCAGACTGCGGACTCCCTCATTTTGCTGCGGACTCCCTCTTTTTGAGGGCAGGAAATACTTTTTTTTAAAGTTTCCATATGTCATACATTTTGTTACAAATACAACTCCTCACCACCATGCATCTTTGAGACAAGCTACAGGTTAATGAAAAAAATATCTGTGAATGAATTTTAAAAGCAACTTCAAATGCGATATAGTGCTGCATACTCACTGTTCCCCAACCTGATGGAATTACCCATATATGTGTGTGTGTAAACTAACTATAATCAGTCAGTTACTAAAAATATGAGCCAAAATTTCACACACGGTAGTTTTGACGCACATATTTCCTCGAGTCCACGCATAGGAAAAGGTAGAATCACCTCCCTGTCGATGGCAAGAGAGCCGTGTCACCATACGGTCTCTACAGTTGTACCGGCATTGTCTCCACAGGTGTGAGTCAGCGTCTGTATCCGCTCGTAACGACGGGCGACGGCAACTGTCTGTTGCATGCGGCGTCTCTCGGCATGTGGGGCTTCCACGACCGCCTGCTCACGCTCAGGAAGGCGCTCTACGCTACGCTCACCAATCCCAGGTTTACGGACGCCTTCTACCGCAGGTAAGTAGTGCGCCCCGTCTGCAGCACCCGGGCTGGCCGCTGACCACTGCAGCGCGCGTGCTTGTCGTTGCAGCCTTCTTGTATGCGCAGTTACTCTGCGCTCTTTACTTGGTGCATTCATAGCTGTTTGTAAGGCTCATACATCTTTACTTACTTGGTTATTACTCGTCATTCTTAGGGGATTATAGGGACTCTAGTAAGCATTGATGGCAGTGTAGGGTTGTGCTGTTGGTATTTATACTGGGCAACCACAATTCGAGCGTGTTGCATTATCACTTTAACGGTGAAATACCATTGACAGTTTTGCGCATGTGATATATTCAGCAATGGCATGATTTCATGTTTTCCTTCACAATCTCGTCTCATAGATGGCGCTATCAGCAGTCGGTGCAGAACCTACAGGCAGGACTGGTTTACTGTGAAAGCGAGTGGGAGCGCGAGTGGGAAAGCATACTCAAGCTGGCTTCGACCGAGCCGCGCTCAGGGACGCTGCGAAAGATGAGTGCGTCGTCGAAGACGGGCGGCGCAGCTCTGTCTCCAACTTTGGAATCTTCAGTGACGTACGAGAGCCTTGAGGAGTTTCATGTGTTTGTTCTCGCTCACGTTCTCCACCGTTCGATCATCGTCGTCGCAGACACAATGCTGAAGGATGCGACAGGTACTGCTTAGCTATAATTTATATATATATATCAGGGTAACTTAGCTACGACTCGGTTATAGGTCACACGAAGATGGCATCGGCTAGTTAGCAGTAGCCGCATCCGCGTCAACAAGTCCATTAGAAATCACTTAGAAATAGATTAGAGCCACTTAGAGACCGATTAGAGCGCCGAGATGCGCCCTGCCCATTAAGGGTCAATTAGTAGCGCCGCATCGGCATCTCACCCATTAGAGGTCAATTAGAAACAGATTAGACAATAACATCTATAGTGACTGAAGTAGTCCTCTCGGTCGAAAACAACTCAACGCCTACGCGAATCGGTGTAGCACGTGCGTAGGGCGTGTATGACGCCCTCGCGAATGTATACGGCACGTGTGCTACGCCTTCGCGAGTACGTACAACGCATGTCTCACAGTCTACGGCGCATGCGTCACGCATGCGCCGCGGGCGTGCCTGTGAGTATAAAAGCCGGAGCGCGGGCAGAATCGAGGAGATTAGACAGCTCCTCGTCTGAACGCGGGTGTCAGACAAGGAGGAGAGGGGAATCTCCCGACGACTGCTGTTGCTGCTGCTGCGGCTGCTGCTGCTGCGGCTGCTGCTGCTGCGACAACAGAACTGCGGCTCCTCGTCCGAACGTAAGGGTCGGACGAGGAGGAGATAGAGGGAGGACTCCGCTCAGCAACTGGGCAACTAACAGGCACGACCGAGGCATTGTAACTCAAACAATAAAAGAAAGTACAGCTAGTCATGGTAAACATCTGATCTCTATTCTTATCCATGTATTTTGGCTTCACATACATTCTACTTCAATAACTTAAAGCAGTAACGTTAAAACGTGCGTTACACTTCTATTAACAAAAAATGCACCCCAAAGTAAAAAAATTACATTGGCTGGTGTACTATGTACAATACTTGTTCCATTCATTGATAAATAACATACATTACTATAATTAATTTCATGAAATATTAGGGTGTCACTATTCTGATATCCATTAATATTCTCGGTGCATTACAAAACCGTCATACCTGTAATGCAGCTAGAGCAGATTTTTAAAAATGCCGTCTGTCAGTGGAAATTATCTAACATTGTCTATTTTCAGGTGTGCTCCATACCTGCAATCTATGCAGCACTAGTGGCAGAAGGGACGAACATCCTTCCTCGCCGGCAGCGTCCTCTACCGACCATGGATACGGTGCTATCGGAGTTTGTTCGCCAGACCGGCATAGACCCCGGTCTCGGACAGGATCTCCTCGATGCGCAAAACTGGGACCTGCAGAGCGCGCTGAAGGCGTTCCGCCAGCTCAGCAACGAGGATGGCGACGCCCGCCAGGGGTCGCCGGTGATGAACGGCGAGCACGGCGGTGACGCGTCGTCACCTGAGGTCGACGTTATCGACGCGCCGAATTGCGTCGCCGCGGCAATCACCGTCGCCGACGACGACGAGTTTTTTGCGAACAAGAAGCTCGCGCGCGGCATCTCGCGCGCCGTCGACAATGTACGGCTGGTGTCGCGTGCGCGGACGGTGGTGGCACGCGAGATCGAGGAGAGCGCGATCGACAGCCTCGGGAAGGACAGCCCCGTCTACACGTTCATTATCCCGGACATCACGGGATTCGCCGACGAGTTCCGCGCGTTCCTCGAAAAGGACCTGATTGAGACGTCGACGTTGGTCTCGCTCGAGCAGGGCGGCCGACTCAACTGGTGGGCAGACGCAGGTACGCCGGCCGTGCATGCGTGCATGCGTGCATGCTGCGTCCCCTATGTGTTCTTCCTTTGTGCATCCCCTATCCCACCTCCACGTTCCAGACCAGTCTGTACCATTGTGTATCAGGGTTGCAGGGTGCGAAATTAACGGGGAGTCCGGAGTCGAATACTCCCTGATTTACTGTTGGACTCCCTGATTGGACATATGCAGGAGTATTGATGTCACGATCATCGATTATACTCGATCATCGGTTGAACAGTGGCTCGAACCAAGCGCTTAGTGATGTCACGATCATCGATTATACTCGATCATCGGTTGAACAGTGGCTCGAACCAAGCGCTTGGTTATGCAAATCCATAATCGATTTCATCAAAAAAATAAATCAATAAATTTGAAATAAATATTAAAAAAATAAAAATTATCATCGCCACTATACAAGTTATCCATTATTAACATACATGTATTATACACACAATAGTAAACAGTGCAAAACAAAGAGTAAACAGGGCTAAACAAGCACATACATGCACACACGTCGTACATGTACACGACGTTACGC